CGAATCTATATAAATAACATCTCCCCTAAAAAACAGCTTTAACAGTCATAACTGTCAAATTCTCTCTACCAAATTTTTGAGGATCGGTCCATAATGACCCTACCCCTTATATATAGTCCCCTCCAAAAAATTACTTTAACGCCAATTACTGGCTTAAAAATGAGAGTCTAGCGCTGAAATTCGGCATAATTAAGATTCTCACAATCAAAAATCTATCTACCGAATTTTATGAGGATCGGTCCATAATTTACCCTACCCCCCATTTACCCTACCCCGCTTCAGAAAATTACTTTAAAGCTCATTACTACCTTAATAATAAGAGTATAGTGATGAAATTAGACACAAGCAAGTTTCTTATGAGTTAAAATCTCTCTACCAAATTGTATGAGGATCGGTCCATAATTGATTCTACACGCCATATAAAGTCCCATCAGTAAATGACTTTAACGCTCACTACTGGTTTAAAAATACGAGTATAGCACTTAAATAAGACATAAGTAAGTTCTTATGAGCAGAAATCTCTCTACTAAATTTTATAAGAATCGGTCCATAATTGACCCTAAACCCAAATGAGGCCCCCTTCAGAAAATGACTTTAACGCACATTACTGGCTTAAAAGTTCGTGTATAGCTATGAAATTCGATGTACTTCTGTATATCGAATTTCATAGTTTCTTACAATCCAAAATCTCTCTACTGAATTTTTAATTGACCCTGACTGACTGCCCATATATGTTCATTAGAGCAGCGGTTCCCACGGTTTTTTACTTCGCGGACCCCTTGAGGAATTTATTTAATTTCACGGACTCCCATACATATTTTGATATCTTATTGTTATAAATAATTGTTCATCCGAAAATTGTCTTAGTCCTGGTCCATAAACCCTATAAAATATTCCCGTACATTGAGAAAATTTAGTATTTCGGAGATGTTTTCAATTGCATGGTTTTAAATATAGAATGACTTCTAACATGATGTTTAATTTTATGATCGTGAGAGCTATCATGTTCATTTCTCGTCAAGGTAGCGAAAAGGTTTCTTTATCAAGTATTGTCGACATGTGCTTAAAGACTCATGTTTCTATATTTTTTTTGCGATTGCATAGGAGTGAGCTGAGTATGTAAGCTAAGTTTTCGGGAAAATATGTGAAAGTTAGACTTCTTCGATGTTGATGCGGAATGCGTTACCCACATAAAATATGACCTGAACTCTTTGCGAATGTACTGTGAATTTGGATCTTAAATTTGAATTTTAAAATACCTACGAATTATTTTACTGCGTGGTTTTGACTATTTACGCAAAACGCTATGAATTTTCTGATGTTGATTTAATAATATTGGACAACAAAATGAAGTTAAAATCTGTGTATCACGTCGGAATGGAATATTTATATTTAAAATTAACTAGATTAACACTTTTGCTTACAATTAAAAAAATATTATGAAATGTGACCTAACTTCATATTCCGGGATACTAGTATCAGTATTTAATTCTAATACCCCATTTACACATACACGAAATCTAGTAATTATGAGATTTCGAGCCAAATCTACTTGATTTTAACTAGATTTCCCATACAAAACAAAATCTACTTCGTAACTAGATTTCGTTAAAATCTACTCAAAATCTTATAGTTTTTAGTGATGCAACTCTGTTTTTTCCTAAATAATACTAAAAAATACGACACTACACAAGAAATAAGAGGAAAACAAGCAAAAAAAAATTAAAATGTCGACAAAATTTTTATAAATTGAAAAACATGAATGAAAAGTTAATCTAAAATAAAAGGTAATGTTATATTTAAATATCTATCTTTTTATTTTAAATGGAATTTTGATAAATATCCCATTTTTCCTTCTTATTTTTCATATCACACACTTTTTCAAGAAATATTAGAAAAAATGAAATCTTCCTAAATGTCAAGAATAGTAAGTGTAAACGGACTAGATTTGGAAAAAGATTTTAAATGAAATCTATCTAAGTGTATGTGTAAATGGGGTATAAAGGCAAATCATTATCCGTCTGATATAAAAACATTTATTTCGATACATATACATTTATAAAAATTACAAATCACGTAATACTTTACTTTATAAAAGTGAAACAATAAATTTGTAGGGCCTAGCTTCATCCTGATAAACGACCGAAACAATAAAATTCAAAAAGTCACCAACAAATCTGGGATTATTGAATAAAAATTGTGTATTTTAGTATTTATGAAAAATTTGGAGATATTTTTAATATTTTCTATCATATAGAGAATATTTTTTATTCATGATTTTTTTCGTTCGTCTTCGCGGACCCCCTAGGATTTTGCTACGGACCACTAGGGGTCCGCGGACCCCCTTTTGGGAACCGTTGCATTAGAGTGATTCAAGCTTGCATGAAGGAAAAAAAATTTTGTCTGACAGGCCGTCCCACCCTCTATGGGTTGTAAAACCATGTCATACAAAAATTTAGGCTGATTGGATAACGTTAACACTTGCCGCAACGGCTTTGAAGTTTTTAAGTGCATTTACAAGGGGAAAATATCGATTATTTTCAGTTTTTGCTCAAATTTGGCTATTTAGTAATAAATTTGAACTTTATTGTAAAAAAATCGTAATGTGCGTAGAGTAAGCATTTCGGAAATATATAAAACACAAAAATTGTTTGAAAACTTTAAAAGTTATTGCAAATTCCCCAGGCCATTAACGTGCCTCACAGCACATAAATTCGAAATGTGACAAAAAAAATTTCCTTTTTTTGGGACATATTCTAAAAAATCATTTTGTTACTTAAAATATATCTATAATTACTCGAATATTAGTTTTTGCCCTTATAAGATAACGCTAATTCGTTCTCAGCTATGGTCAAAAAAGTTTCACTTTTTCAACGGCCGTTTCAAATCTCCAATTTCAGTTTTTTTGAAACTTTGTTACACAAATTTCAAAATTTATAGGAGATCTTATGGAGATTTATGGTCAATAGGTAAGGCTATTAAACGGTAAAAATATTAGATCAATATTTCTTACAGTTTAGCTGAACTTGCGATTTGAACTCGGCGGATTTTGGGAAAATCGTATTTTTTTGTAATATTTTAGAGAATACGTATTAATTCTATACTGTTGCACATTTTACATAAACTATTATCAGAGTATTATAGTCCAGATAATACAAAATATATATCCGTAGTTTTATTAAAATCTGACATTCTTAACCCATAAACTGTGGAATTCAAAGGTCAAATCTTGCAATATTTGGGAATTTTTAGTGTACCATATCGAAATAATATTTATTTGTCGGCCATATTTACCAAAAATGACTGGAATTTATCGTATATAGTTAGATATTTAAAATAGAGTGAAAAAAGGTAGATTAACCCTTTAACGCACTTGGGAATAATTTAACACCAAATTCCAAAAATTCGAAAAAACACTATTTGAATAATGCTATATATAATTAGAGGAATAACATTAACGGCTTCAGAGCCGTTGCGGCACCTGTTTACGTTATCCTATCATCCTAATTTTTTGTATGACATAGTTTTACAACCCAAAGAACAACTCTAGAGGGGGGGGACGGGCAAAATTCGCAACTTCGTTTTTTTGGAGCACTCTAATTGTCATGGATTAAAAGTTGGACAAAAATATTTTGTTTTTAAAAATTATTATTTTGTTAATCCGAAAGGAATGTGTCCATAACTGACTTAAGCCCAATTTCAAATATCAACCTAATGTTTACAGGGGAGCATTCCATTTACGGCATACGGTTTGATGGTGGATATATATTTAAAAAATTCCAGAAATTATCCATCTAGAGAAAATTTTCGATAAAATCTCTTCTTTAAAAACAGGTTTGATACATTTTTATTTTTATGTAAAGAAATTTTTCTATATTTTTTTTTTCTTTAAATAAAAAGTTGCAAAAATTCTCTGTTTAAATATTTTCACATTTTCTAAGAGAAGACATGGGTTTAACAAAAGTTTTTTTTTTAATTTTTGAAAATTTCCTAAACTGGGATTTAAATAAAAAAATAAAAAAAAACCCTAATCAACTGCATTTTATATTGAAAACCATTAGCAAAAACTTGCTTTGTGTCAATATGTACTTTCTTCACATTATACCCAACTGCAACTTATTAAAAATAAAAAACTTATACACTCTACTCTCATAAAAAATAATAAAAATTATTATTTATACTTTTGCTATTCTTAACTTCTAACTACATTTGTTTCAAACAGGGATTTTTCTGTTAACTAAAACTGAAAAAACCAACCAAGTAACAGCATTTAATTTAAGTCGCCAGTAGAATTGTTTTTCTTGCAAACGTTTTAAACTACTTAGTAGAACACTTCCGTATTGACAACTTTAAGTAAATCTTTTTACGAACTTTTTTCTTTTTGTGAAAAAGAAAAAAAAACACAAATGTTGTTGAAAGCAAGGATGATAATAAAAATATTCTTTTGACTTTAATGGGGGGAAAGTTGTAGAGATATTGTAAAAATGAGAAAAAAATAGAAAGTAACAAGTGTTAAAAAAATATTATTAATATTAAAGTTAATTTTATAATTATCAAACAAATTAAAACAAAAGATTATACTTGGCTAATAAACTGACAATTAGAAGGGATAATGAAATGTTCTTGTTGAAATTTTTTCTTACGTTTTAATGAGTTTGGGTATTAATAATTACATAATTGTTTTAATTATAAGTAATAAGAAGAATATAAAAATATACATATATTTGAAATAAACGATACTATTAGAAAAGTTTAATAAAGCAATAAGCCGCAAAGTAGACTTTATTTCGAGAAAGAACTAATTAACACGGCGTATGTCGAGAGACTTCTTAGAAGTGACTTAGAAAAAATACGCATTGAATTAGAGGTATTTCATTAGATTCTTAACAAGGTTGTCCCCTAATATGCCGCCCCACACAATAATTCTATCTCAATTTTGAAAAAATTTCAACAAACACACATTGACTAAATACAACTAAAAAAAAATAATCACAACTCACCTTTTTTGCAGGAACTTTCGTTTAAAATCTCTTAGCACCCCTGTGCCACCATCATCGTCTACGAAACGAAAACGTTGATGTTGTATCGCCTCATGCTGTGATGGCAACAAATGACGATTTGTAACGCCAAAATCCATTTGTACATCAACTACCAACAATAGGGTGAGTAATATTAATGTGGCGCCCAGACTTATCGCTAGGCGCTCTTTCAATTTCATAGTCCTCAACATGCCCATGATGAAGCCTTCTCTAGTTGTTCTGCTCTCACTTGCTAAATTTGGAATGTTCGAAGTATTTGGTGTTTGTAAAGTTTTAGCTAACTTTGCATTTTCGGCGTTGAGGGTGTCTTTGTTTTTGTGATTATTGAATTTATTCAAATAGTTTTCCAACCACAAAGTTTTTTGGTGGGTTGCTGGTTTTTTTACTGTTGTTTCGGGTAACTCCGATTTAACGTCGTCGTCGAGATCTTTTGATTTTGATTTTCGTATAATACGTTTACGAACAACTACTCGCTTTACTTTGGCTGTTTTTGGCACAGGCGTTAGATCGGTTTCATTAACAACGTTTTCAACGTCTTGTGGCTGTAGGAACTCTGTTTGTTGATGATGATGATTTATACAATTTCTATTACCGGAGGGATTATTTGCAATAAAATTCCTTGATAATTTTTCTTTTTCAACTTCATGTGCAGCTATACTCTCTTCATTATTTGCAGTATAATAATTAATATGATTTTTGTTGTAGCTATAGTTGTTTTGAAATATTTGTTCAGCTGATAAATTGCGCTCTAATAATGACCCTGACTGTTCGAATTGCTGATTACGTTGCTGCGTTGAGTCTTTATTCAAATCACTTTTATTACTGCCATAAACTGATGACGAAAAATTATTATATGATAAGCTTTCATCAAGCTCTGGGTATTGCTGTAGTTGTTGAGATTCTTGCTCGAATTGCTGCCACTGCTGCTGTTTGTGTCGGAATTTTTCTAAACGTTCAGCTAATGTTGGTGATTGTGTTTTGAATGCATTCGTATTGAAATTTTTATTAGCAAATTGATTATGGGCATTAGAATTTGTTATCTCAGTTTTATAGCTAATGCTGCAAAAAAAAAAAAAACAATGAATTCAAAGAAGAGAATAAAAAAATATTTATGAGAAATTTATTGATGAAAAGTTATAATAGAAAATATTTATATTATAAAATACGTATTATTCCCCTTTTATTTATTGAATTAAATCCAAAACAAATACTAAATTATTTATGAATGAATAGCTTTCATAAAATATTAAAGCTAATATTTTATAAAAACAACAACAACAGATGATTAAGAAATTGTTTTAAAGTACATATGTAGGTATATAGTATAACAAAATTTAGAAAATATGTTGTTAAACTACAAAAAGTAAAAAATCTAAATACTACTCCTATCATTAATTTTTTTTTATTTATCAACAATTAGCAGGAGGAGTTTGCAAATTGGACTATAAAAATTCAAACAAAATTTGCCTGGTATTATTTTATTCTGTGTCATAACAAATGTACATTTATATGCAAATGAATTTCTACATATCGCCACCTAAAATGCAAAATTTTACAGGATATACAAAAAAACAATTTAAAACTATTGTCGTTATAATTTCAAATGTCATTTTTGCCAATGACAATTTGAAATTGCGTAATTTGATACTGTGAACAATTTAGTCAAAAATTAAATTTTCACTTTTTGGTTGTTACTCATTTTTGCATTTCAGGTGACGTTATGCTAATTTTGTACATACATATGTATGTATATAGATCAGTAAATTAGAAATAAAACAGAAACAAAAACCGATTGTTTCCATATATATAATATCGACTAACAGCAACTGAACTAGAACTAAACTAGAACTAAACTAGAACTGAACTAGAACTGAACTAGAACTGAACTAGAACTGAACTAGAACTGAACTAGAACTGAACTAGAACTGAAACTAGAACTGAACTAGAACTGAACTAGAACTGAACTAGAACTAGAACTGAACTAGAACTGAACTAGAACTGAACTAGAACTGAACTAGAACTGAACTAGAACTGAACTAGAACTGAACTAGAACTGAACTAGAACTGAACTAGAACTGAACTAGAACTGAACTAGAACTGACTAGAACTGAACTAGAACTGAACTAGAACTGAACTAGAACTGAACTAGAACTGAACTAGAACTGAACTAGAACTGAACTAGAACTGAACTAGAACTGAACTAGAACTGAACTAGAACTGAACTAGAACTGAACTAGAACTGAACTAGAACTGAACTAGAACTAGACTGAACTAGAACTGAACTAGAACTGAACTAGAACTGAACTAGAACTGAACTAGAACTGAACTAGAACTGAACTAGAACTGAACTAGAACTGAACTAGAACTGAACTAGAACTGAACTAGAACTGAACTAGAACTGAACTAGAACTGAACTAGAACTGAACTAGAACTGAACTAGAACTGAACTAGAACTGAACTAGAACTGAACTAGAACTGAACTAGAACTGAACTAGAACTGAACTAGAACTGAACTAGAACTGAACTAGAACTGAACTAGAACTGAACTAGAACTGAACTAGAACTGAACTAGAACTGAACTAGAACTGAACTAGAACTGAACTAGAACTGAACTAGAACTGAACTAGAACTGAACTAGAACTGAACTATGAACTGAACTAGAACTGAACTAGAACTGAACTAGAACTGAACTAGAACTGAACTAGAACTGAACTGAACTGAACTAGAACTGAACTAGACTGAACTAGAACTGAACTAGAACTGAACTAGAACTGAACTAGAACTGAACTAGAACTGAACTAGAAACTGACTAGAACTGAACTAGAACTGAACTAGAACTGAACTAGAACTGAACTAGAAACTGAACTAGAACTGAACTAGAACTGAACTAGAACTGAACTAGAACTGAACAACTGACTAGAACTGAACTAGAACTGAACTAAGAACTGAACGAGAACTGAACTAGAACTGAACTAGAACTGACTAGAACTGAACTAGAACTGAACTAGAACTGACTAAACTGAACTAGAACTGAACTAGAACTGAACTAGAACTGAACTAGAACTGAACGAACTGAACTAGAACTGAACTAGAACTGAACTAGAACTGAACTAGAACTGAACTAGAACTGAACTAGAACTGAACTAGAACTGAACTAGAACTGAACTAGAACTGAACTAGAACTGAACTAGAACTGAACTAGAACTGAACTAGAACTGAACTAGAACTGAACTAGAACTGAACTAGAACTGAACTAGAACTGAACTAGAACTGAACTAGAACTGAACTAGAACTGAACTAGAACTGAACTAGAACTGAACTAGAACTGAACTAGAACTGAACTAGAACTGAACTAGAACTGAACTAGAACTGAACTAGAACTGAACTAGAACTGAACTAGAACTGAACTAGAACTGAACTAGAACTGAACTAGAACTGAACTAGAACTGAACTAGAACTGAACTAGAACTGAACTAGAACTGAACTAGAACTGAACTAGAACTGAACTAGAACTGAACTAGAACTGAACTAGAACTGAACTAGAACTGAACTAGAACTGAACTAGAACTGAACTAGAACTGAACTAGAACTGAACTAGAACTGAACTAGAACTGAACTAGAACTGAACTAGAACTGAACTAGAACTGAACTAGAACTGAACTAGAACTGAACTAGAACTGAACTAGAACTGAACTAGAACTGAACTAGAACTGAACTAGAACTGAACTAGAACTGAACTAGAACTGAACTAGAACTGAACTAGAACTGAACTAGAACTGAACTAGAACTGAACTAGAACTAGAACTGAACTAGAACTGAACTAGAACTGAACTAGAACTGAACTAGAACTGAACTAGAACTGAACTAGAACTGAACTAGAACTGAACTAGAACTGAACTAGAACTGAACTAGAACTGAACTAGAACTGAACTAGAACTGAACTAGAACTGAACTAGAACTGAACTAGAACTGAACTGAACTGAACTAGAACTGAACTAGAACTGAACTAGAACTGAACTAGAACTGAACTAGAACTGAACTAGAACTGAACTAGAAACTGAACTAGAACTGAACTAGAACTGAACTAGAACTGAACTAGAACTGAACTAGAACTGAACTAGAACTGAACTAGAACTGAACTAGAACTGAACTAGAACTGAACTAGAACTGAACTAGAACTGAACTAGAACTGAACTAGAACTGAACTAGAACTGAACTAGAACTGAACTAGAACTGAACTAGAACTGAACTAGAACTGAACTAGAACTGAAGAACTAGAACTGAACTAGACTGAACTGAACTAGAACTGAACTAGAAATGAACTAGAACTGAACTAGAAATGAACTAGAACTGAACTAGTGATGAATTGGACTTAAACTAGCTCACTTTCCATATTACCGCACCTAAATTTAGAAAAACAGTGTCTTTCCAAATTAATCAAAATTTTTCAATTTATTCTAAAATTTAAACATGTTAATATCATTTCGTGCATTTTAGATATTTAAAAGAAGAACCTTAAACAAAAGAAGTACAATAGTTTTTTGTATAGTGTTTCCTGTAATCGTGTTTGATTAATGGTGTAAAATTGAAATTTTTTGACATTTTCCTTTGAATTTTTTGTTGTATATACAATAACAAATATTTTCTAACTAGCCCAGTTCGTGTGTCTATTACACTTTGTATACATTTTGGCACACATGCCTATATTGCCATAGATTTGACAGAGTTTAAAAGAGTGAAATTCTTTAAACTAATATCGAGAGTCCAAGAAAACTTAATATAAAGCCATCTAAATAAACATATTTTTCAGAATTTAGCTATGATTTCATACATTTTCGCTCTGTAGTTTTCAGTACCTATACAAAATACATACATACTTATTTGTTTATTTGCCTTTTTTTGTGCATGTATGTATAGTGTTAGAATGGGTGTCATATCATTGTTGAATGTCCTGTAGATTCATGTTTAAAGCTGTGATACATCACATAATGGTTTGTTAGGGACATGTGTCAAACAGAGACTACTGCTGTTTGTTCTATTTGTTCTTCAGTAGCCAGTTTTTTTTGTTTTTATTCGTATTCATACTATCTTGCACTTTTTCAAAATGTTTTTTTTTTATACCAACCAACAAGAAAGATGGGGGTATATTGCTTTTATCATTATGTTTGTAACACATCGACAAATTGGTCGTAGACCTACAAAAGTATGTATTCTCAATTCCTTATTAAATCCTAATATATACTAGCCATATCCGTCCTTCTGTCTGTTAAAAGCTATAACGTTGAAATTATAAATATATGGAAGCATGAAACTCTATACTTTACTTTGTGAGGCCATATTTGACCTTTCTCCTCATATAAGGTACCCTCCAATATCATTTTAAAAATTTTAGAGAAACCAATATCTTCCTTCTTAATTTTATAAGAATCGCTCGATCCTTAAGAAATTATGAATAACACTGAATTTTTAATTTAAAGCAAATTCTTTGTTAAATTTTTGATCGAAATATTGTTTTATTATCTTTCAAATTCACTTAAAATGTATGGCATATGATTTGATGGTGGGCATATAAGATTCGATACCGCCGAATATAGCAATCTTACATGCTTTTGTATATGTTGGTTCTGTTTGAAATTCAGAGTCAGATGTTGGGATTTTTATTAGGTGTTGTTTATTTACGAGGTTTATATGTTGACATTTTTGTGCTTCCTAAAGATTTTTTATTCCATTTTGTTTTCTGTTTTTTTTTTATTGATTTTAGTTGAATATAAACGATATGGCTGAATAAATTTTGTATTAACAAAGAAAAATATGTTTTGAGTATCGTAGAAAAATTGGAAAAGCTATTACTTGTATTTAATTTTTGGTTCAGAAAAATACTTTTATTTTGGTCCAGAAAAATAAAAGGAAAATGTAAAAAAATTAGCATTAGATAAATGCCAAAAAAAAAATATTGAAAATTAAATTGGCATGTTTAATAGGTTAACTGTATCACGATTTTCAGAAAGTCCACTAATAACTTTGAAAATACATAATAATTATTAATTAAATGCTGATGA